CAATCAATTCAACTCACTTAGCATTGTGGATACTTAACTAGCCAAATGCTCCGTAATCTTCTGGAAGTTTAAACATGCATAAGGCGTGGTTCCCAACTGCCTGGAGTCTTTAGATTTTCCAAGAAGATAAACATAAATGACTATCATACAGTTTGAACCTAGAAAGTTCTTTGGCAATACAGACAATGGAAAATTTGTGTCTAGAGGAACCAAGGAAAGTTCAGCTGAGCTTGCGTGAGTTTTTCCTAGGACTTTCAAAAGTGGAAATAAGAGATTGAAGATGCTGATGAGGTAGCATATAAGCAAGGGATCATGGGAGATTGATCATGCTTTCAAGTGCAACTTGGGGACTGTATAGGAAAGTCTTTGAAAAATGGCAGAGATCAAGTTTGCATGAATAACAACTACCACATAAAGAATTTAGTGCCTTCTGTGTATAAGTACTATTCTTTCAATGTGGATAATGAAGAAATGCCCTCTTTACTGGGACATAACTGAATTAGGAAATGCCATAAGAAGGCACTGATACCATGGTGTCATTATCTCAGTTGCTGTGTTAAATCAGAATAAAAATGAACAAGAGTTGCTGTTAGCTTCTGCTCTGGCTTCCAACAAAATCTCTTAGTGAGTTTTAGTAGCACTGACCCAAGGAAAGTCTGCAGGAATGGACCTGATCAGTACCTTCTACAAAGTTCTCCATAGGGTTCTGATGTGGAGCAGGTTTGAGAACCATTCCTTGGACCAATGTAAATAATGTTGAAGAAAGAAAGCAGCATGATTTCAATGGGATTGCCTTGTTGGTGGTTGTGAGTTTGAAGGGGATAGGTATGGATTAACAGACTCTGTGTGTTCACTGTTCAAGTAAAGGAGAGTGCCCAAGTTAGAGAGGCACTATGTTCCATTCACTTCGTTTTGTTTGTAGCTGGGAGTTCTGAGGTCTGGGCTTGGTGGTTCATACAGAGAACCAGGATCCTAGAGAAAGGTCATCTTAGAGCAAGTATGTGATTATCAAGCAAAGTTCTGCTCAGATCCCCAGTCACGAAATCACTTCTCTGTCCCTCTAGAGCTGAGCTTAGACAAAGAAGAGAAAGCAGCACCTGCAGAGATGTAGTGAGGAGAGGGGAGACAGAGCTAAAGACAGCTTTCCAAACAGCGTGTTTTCTGGCGTGCATGTACCTGAGATGCTTGGTGAATAGTATAACGAGACACATCGGAAATAATTTAGTAGGAAATTGATGGGCCCATTGAGGGGATTTCTACTAAGACAAAGAGGTTATTGAATAGTGATGAGAATAGGTTCAGTTTTTGCTTCTGGGTAAGGGAGCAGGTGGACACTAAATCTTAGCGATCGGTAGGATTTCTCATCATGACCTCAGCATGTTGGTGTGGAGTGCCTGGGAATTCATTGCTTGCCTTCGTATTCATCCATCCCCCATGACAGTGAGTACAGCTTATATAGAACATACTTATGGAATCTACATTGGTTAGTCTGCTCTTGATAATCTTTCCTTGGATGTTTGTTGCAAAGAAAAGGAGTCCAGAGAGGACAATATTTCATGAAAGAGCATGATCCTGGGAGCAGTATGGAGATATATAAGCCTGGAGTCCATGGCACATCTCAGCAAGGGGCAAGGGCCCAAAGTGCACAAAAGGCAGAAAAGCAATCAGTGGAGCAATCTGGGGTAATTTTTCCATTCAAGTCTGTAAGTAATAACTAAGTGTGAAAGGGGGTCTTAAGGAATAGAACAAACAAAATTTTTTTTTGAGAAAAATCTTCCTGGAATCAGAGTTGGTTAAATTGAAGTTTAAAAGAAGCAAATAAAATCAGGTAGATTTTTAACTATTGTTCTGTTTTTAAAAAAGAAAAAAAAAAGGCCAGCCAAAGGCTTAGGTGACATGGATGGACACAAAGGACTAAATCAGAAACTGAGTGAGAACAAGGAGCCCATACAGTGCCCAGATGATGCCAGGTGACGTAAGAGGAATTCCAGAGGAGAAACTGGAGTTTGCCACTTAGGAGCTCTGTTTCAGACTAGTGGGATCTCTGGTAGTTGATTAAATATGCAGGTATATTAATCTGAAGGACAGTTGGAATCACAGTCGGAAGGCGCCAATTTAGAAGATGCAGCATATCACTGAGTGAATTTCATATATTGCTTGAATACAGAAAACATTGTACAGAGAGAATGCAGTGTGGGAAAAAGAATGGCAAACAGATGCCTCGCCGAACAACGTCTGAGCAACAAAGAGGAGAGGACTTCAGGGCTGACTGGAGAGAGCAGAGAGGTAGGAGAAAAAAATACCTGGACAGGAGGAGTGTGGTGTGGAATCAGGATTCCAGCGAAGTTCAATTTCAAGGCACCAGCTGCAGTCAGCACAACTAGAGAGGACAGGGGAAATCCACTGAAAAATGCCGACTAAATCCCATAAGTTCTCATAGAATGGTGGACAGATGCCAATTTTATTTGGCTCCAAGTACGCAGATGAGAAAGTGGACATAGCAAACATTGAGTGACATTCGTTCTTGTCTTTTACTCCCTAAAGCTCTGCCGTGAAGGAAAAGAAGAGGGAGAGGAAAAACCTGACAGCTGGGGAATTTAAAGGGTACTTTTGAAGCATGGAGCAGGATAGATAGACCATAGCACTAGGAATCATGCATGCCTAGTGAGTTCAGGACCCACAGAGGTGGTCATTGGTCCCTGATGTGTCTGGCATTGCAAAAGGCAACAGCGGTGGCAGAGGACTTACAAGGTACTTCGTTCTTAATGCTCCTTAATACCTGGTTTTACAAACAGGAACTCATCTGCCCATCATGGTTCATACCCCAAGTTTTCTTAAAGGGAAACTATGGTAGAGAGACATTAACCTACCCAATTGATCTTCAGCCTACTTCAGCAAGCTCTCGCATTAAACTCAGCTTCCAGAACAATGCATAAAAGCACATATCATCAGAGGTGGGATAGGCCTACAATTATAGATGCTGCTCGGTTATCTTATTGGAGGGCGTTTTCTTTAGGGAATGCGTGTCTCTATAGTTATTTCATAGCTTTATGAGGCTGAAGTCTTAAGTCGTGTCTTGACTTGTCAGTATTGATCCACTCAGAAAAACTTGTCAATACATGCCAATACAAAAACTTGTCTTGAAAATGGGTTTAGTGAGGAACAGCAATATGAAGTTATTTTGTTGTGACAAAACTAAAGTAGTTATGGAATGAAAATAAAATGTTGGTGTGTAATTCCAAGTAGAAATTGCAGTAGGGTGTAAGAGAGATAGAGAGAGAAGTGGTGTGTCTGGAATGATGCTGAAACAAAGGTAACCTTAGCTACACAGCTGGATGAAGCTTCGAGTTGTTTGCAGGTACTTGGTAGTAGAACACATGAAAATTGAGCATACTATTGTATTTGTAGTATATTTGCTCATATTGATGACTTCAGCTTTTTTTAGTCTTATGCCTTCATCCATCCAAAGTGTTATTGGAAAATTTACAAAAATAAGAATTTATGAAGCTCTTATTCTAATGCCATCACTATTAACACCTGATTTACATGAATAGTCTCATTTTATTATTAAAAACAAAACATTACTTCACAAATGAAGAAACAGCCAGGCTAAAGCACAGACCTAGAGAGCAGCAATGTTAACCATGGGATAGTGTGAATCTAGACTCAGACTGTTAACCCATCCACCCTGCTGCACATTCTAGTGTTGCTATCTCCACTTCCTTTAGAGTTTCCCCGGGGCTACCATGTTTAGGAATGGGAATATTATCTATCAGAAACTTTTGTCTTTAATTTCTCCTGCTACTCGGGGATTGATTTGTCAGAATCAATATTGGGAAAATTTGAACCTAGTTAAAAAATAGGGAAAATGTATCTCAGTGAAGGCAGAAGGCTTCCCTTTTTATTTAACCTTGCTGACTAGATCATTAAACACATTTCTTTAACAATTTAATGTAAAGGATTATACCCTTTTATGTAGCTGTTTTTCTAGATATCTGTGGGCTGAGGTTACAGCAAAGAAAGACTTGATTGGCCATTAAGCAAGGCCCTTGAGACAGAGAGTGTGTGTCTGACTGTTTCCGCCATTTTATCCATATTCCTTTCCAATGCTGTGCTCACTGCTGGGGTACAGAAATAGAGATGTCATCCTGTGTCCTCTGATGTCATCCAGTGGAGCTAATTATCTGGATGAGGGCCAGCAGTGAGAAATAGACCCAAACAGCCACACTGGTCAGCTTTTATCTGGAAACTTAAAAAAACAGACAATAAAAAAATACCATTGCTCGTCTCCATACCTCTTGTTCTGCAGCAGTGCTGCGGAAAGCAGACGGGGGAGGCTCTCTAAGGAACACAGAGAACAGCAGCCGCACACCAGCACAAGCTCTGGACGGCCTCCTCTACCCCGCATTCTTTTCTTAGTCTCAATCCACACCACAGGCTATAAGAGATACATTCAAGCATGTCCAAACTTCTATCAAATTAATTTCTTCTGCATTCGATATTAAAATTGAGTGAAAATTCTTAAGTAGAAGATTTGCGCTAAACTTTAACTCATGACAGTAATCTCCCCTAAACTCAGACACGATGGAGTTTTCCAAGACCGCCTAGATATTTAGTTGTCTGGAAAATTCTGAGATGAAAATTTGTACCCTTTTGGATTCTTGAACAAATGTCTCTACTTCTTTGCATTACAAAGGTTATTCTTTAAGACAGTGATTCTCAACTTGTGGGTCGCTATCCCTTTGACAAACCTCTATCTCCGAACGTATTTGCATCACAATTTATAACAATAGCAAATGTATAGTTATGAAATTGCAACAAAAAATAATTTTTTTGAGCATCACTACAACATGGGGAACTTATTAAAGGGCCACAGCATTAGGAAGACTGAGAACCACTGCTTTAAAGAGCACATCCACACATTCATGGTACTGTGGAATGCCTACTAGACATTTGTTATCATTAAATTCTTAGTTTCTGATTGATTTTTTTTTTTACAGGCTCAATTTGAACTCAAGACATTTCACATCCGGGGTGAGCATGCATTAATAACAGCAAGACTTGAAGAAACCATTGAAAATCTCAAGCAACAGTTAGACCACCGCTGGGGAGGAGGATGTGAAGAGATGAGAGACGCCTGCATCTCCACCGATGACGACTGCCCCCCAAAGGCCTTCAGAAATGTGTACATCCAGACAGACAGAGAGACGTTCCTGAAGCCCTGTGAAGGTGAAAACAAGGCAACCAGAAACAACCAGATAGTACCCAAGAAGTTGAATATCTCGTTAACCCAGCTCTCTCCCACAAAAGACAGCAAAGACAGCCTTGCACCTCTTCAGACAGAGGAGGGCATCTCCTCTAGTCAGCAGAAGAAATCACCTCCTCCCTCCACACCTCCTCCTCCTCCCCCTTCCATCCCTCCCCCTCCCCCTCTCCCCACTGGACTTGGACCCGTGCCACCACCAGCACCACCCATATCACCTGTGAGTGCTGGGCCACCACCACCACCTCCTCCACCTCCTCCACCACCTCCCTTGCCACCAAGTGCTGGACCTCCGCCACCTCCTCCCCCACCACCACTCCCTAATGTGCTGGCTCTCCCTAACAGTGGGGGACTTCCTCCTCCTCCCCCTCCTCCTCCTCCACCAGGACTTGCACCCCCACCTCCTCCTGGACTCTCCTTTGGACTCAGCTCTTCTTCTAGCCAGTGTCCTCGTAAACCAGCCATCGAGCCCAGCTGTCCCATGAAGCCTTTGTATTGGACTAGAATACAAATAAGTGATAGGAGGTAAGCTCATCCTTGACCTGTTCTCGGTTGCAAACTCACAAGATTCTTCCCAAGTGCTGTTTCATTATGGGCAGTTCAATATTTACATTGGGTAGCACCCATTCTTAAACTTAATATGTTGAATGCCTTGCGTACACAAGCTTAGAGTGTCAGGGAAGGGGTGGATAGTCTTTGCAAACTCCTCTGGGAGGATGTGTTCAGTATGTCCTCATCAAGGTAAATGTTCCATTTCATGGACTGGAGAAGAGTCCAGGTCTAGGTGAGGGCCATCTCTAACTCCACTGTATTAGTTGAGTTCTTAGAAAGAAATTGGAGCAGTCCCTCTGCGCTGTTAGTCACTGAGGGTTACTACAATATCTTTTATGATACCTTTTCTTAGTTTTTGATAACCAGACTTGTCATCTAGTGTTGGTCATTTTTTTTCTATCACTATGACAAATATCTGAGAAAAGTGTGAAAGAATTTATTTTGGCTTATGTTCTCAGAGGTTCAAATCTATCATGCCAGTGAGGGTGTAGCACAGTGGGGTAGCTCATCTCCTGGCCAGGAAGGAGAGAAACAGAACATACCAGAAATCTTCTCCTTTATTCCGTCTGGGCAATGAGCCTGTGGGATATTCAGGCCTGATCTTCCCACCCTTGGTTAATTCTCTTTGAAAAGGTTCCTGCAGATACCTTCAAAGCATCACTAATCTGTAGGGGCTTCTAATTGAATCTGGATATTTAGCAGTTACGGGTACGATTTCATTTTCTGGTAAAAATCTTGAGATGGTTGGTTAGATCAGAAGAGAGTCTTAAAATATAACTCCCCCCTTTGAACTCTGTTCATAAGACTTCTCTTACAGATGTAGTCATGCTTGACCTCCAAAGAAAGTAGCATGTGTGGAGAGCTGGTGTGGAGAGAACCTTTCATTTGTGAATGATATTGAACAGGACCTATACGGCAGAAAGTCATGCTGACTTGGAAACCTCCATCCAAACAAGTTAGACTTAGATTTCTTGCTTTATTTCTGAATCTCCCGGGAGGACAATGAGAGAAATATTGACTTGTTTCTTGACCACTTTCTAGGTTTGAAAATTGTTTGCAAAGACTGTATAATGATAATAATAATAAAACTACATTTTAAAAGCTTATTCCCCAATTCAAAAGGGTGGTACTGGATTTTCAAGCTTTTGTAAAATTCTTCTCAAGGAAGGCAAGACAACTAAACAAAATAACATATAGTTCACAATTATTAAAAAAAAAATGGAAACCACGGTAAGAGCAGGGGAAATACCACCAACCCAGGCATTTGATGAACAGAGTTGATGATGTATTTCATATTGTCCCAAGTCCTCCTGCCAAAAACTAAGGGTCAAGAGTTTACTTGTGGAAATTTCTAGATGTATTTATTTATTGCTGATAAAAGTGTTTTATAATTTCCCAAATGAATGGTTTAAAAAAAAAAAAAGATGATCCTAAAATAGTTCCCAACACTAATACTGATGTGCTAGTTTGCCATTTCTCATTCGAGATTTAGATATTTCCTAAGAGATGATTTCCCAGAATATTTGAGTTGCGTTTCTTTATGAGTACTCTCAGCTCATTGCAGTCACTCGCCAGTGATGAATCCCACCTGGGAGCCCTGGACCTACTTGTTCTGACCGCACATGGAACTGGCTCACACCTGTTTCTCACTTGCGTGCTTTCACTTCATCCCCCCAAGAGACGTCATGAGCAACCAAAGCCATAGGCCTAGCATCATAAAGCCTCATGCTGGGAGGACGGGCCCTTCATCCACTGTTCAAGGAAGAGTAAATGAGAATTGAGGAAAATCATTAGTTTTTTTTTCTCTTGTCATTTTCTACTTTTTTTTTTTTAATGGAAAACAGTCCAACACTCAAGCTTCCATCAGTTATGTTGGTTGGGCGGGTTCTGCAAACCCCATCAATCCAGTGCTTCACTTTCAAATGAAATGAAAACTAGATGGACAGGACATTAGGCGCGACTGACTTGATGGCTGTGTCGGCCTTGTCTCCTCTGTGATGTGTTAAGACCACAGCATGGCCACTCCCTGCCAATGTGACACATCAGGTTCTTTCTTCATGAGCCCCTCAATAAAAATTTTATACCTCTGAGCACAACTGCTTTGAGTATGAAAATCATGATTTGGTACCAAATCATTTAATAATATAACAAATATGTTTACTCTATGTGAAGTAGACTATATAGTATATTATATAAACTTAACTTTATTTTTAGTTTTAATTGAAACAAAAATATACATTGAAACAAAGGTAAATACTGTTAGGTGTTATGAATCATTCGTGCCATGCTCACATATTTGAAAAATCAATTTACCTTTTCTTTCTTTCTGGCATTAATAGTAACTTGAGAAAGGATTTCAATTCCACCATTATGCAGAAGGCACATGCCAGCTCATAGAGGTGGTTCTGATATACTTGATTTCTGGCAGCTGCTTGTTCACTGCTTCATAACAGACTATTTCTGAAAAATAAAATACAAATTCCCCATGGATGCTTTAGTTGGAATCCCATGGGGGCAGGGGGACTGATGCACGACAAGAGTTCATGGTTTTGTGTGGCAGATGAGCAGCTGACTGGTCATGTATTAAAGCCTTTGGACTGAGATGACCTGATTCAATCCTGAAAACTGTCTTTAAAATCTCAAGGCGGGGAGAGGCACATTTTTACCTTCCTGTTCCATTTCCAATCCTCTGAAGAATGACTTTGGACCTGTGGGAGTAGAACGGCTCTGTGGGAGTAGGATGCTTGCAGTCCAGTCTGATAACTTGAATTTGATTGCAGGGTTCCGGGTGGTGGAAGCACTGAAATTGCCCTCTGACCTGCACATGCATGCCATGGCCCGCGTGTCTTTTTCCCACATATATATCTCCTATACGTGTGTGTCCACATGATGAATACGTAAACTATAATACATTTTTAAGAATGTCCTTGCCCATGTATAGAACTGATTATCCCTTCTGCCTCCCTGTGATGCTATTTTTGCCTTCTTGACATGCCACAGCCGAGAGAGGAGCGGTTTGCATGGCCCCAAACATCAACCGCAGAAATTCTAGTCCTAAGGGCCTTCTCCAGAGCTCTTGTACTGAACTAACGACCATCATAGTTTTTGTATGTTTACATGGATATGTAGGTTAAAATATCCTGTTACATATTTTGACTTCTAAAATGTGTGACATGAGAAGCTTTTATCCAAGCATTACCAGGGTTTGACATTTGTTTAAAAGTGCATTAGAGAAAGATTTCATCATATTAGGCTATTTCCTCTTCCTTCATTTAACTTGATGTTTTCTCTTTCAAGCCAAGATGCCACACCAACTTTATGGGACTCCTTAGAAGAACCTCATATCAGGGACACCAGTGAGTTTGAATATTTATTCTCCAAAGACACAACGCAACAGAAGAAAAAACCCCTGTCAGAGAGCTATGAGAAGAAGAACAAAGTCAAAAAGGTGCTGTGCGATCATCATTGTAATCATAGACATATGGGAATTCCCTTATCCTTCTGCTTGCTGCTCTTTCCCGAAAAGATAATCTAAGCTTAGATGGCAAAAGGATCCAGTTAGTTTAAGAAACTTAGGCTTGTTGTTTTGGTTTTATCTTCTGAATTTTTAAACGTCATTCTGAACTATTGTCTGTGTTAGTTAGGGTTACTGTTGCTGTGATGAAACGCCATGACCAAAGAAACGTGTGGAAGAAAGGATTTATTAGTCTCATGCTTCCTTGTCCCTCACTGTTCATCATAAACAGAAGCTGGGACAAGGACTCAGACAGGGAAGGAACCTGGAGACAGGAGCTGATGTAGAGGCCATGGAGGAGTGTTGCCTACTAGTTTGCCCCTCATGGCTAGCTCATCTTGCTTTCTTATGGAACCCAGGACCACTAGCCTAGAGTGACCCCACCTGCAATGAGCCCTCCTACATTGATCACTAATTAAGAAAATGCCCTCAGGTTGCCTATTGCTGGATCTTATGACGACATCTTCTCAACAGAGGCTCCCTTCTCTCCTAGCTTGTGTCGAGTTGACATAAAACTAGCCAGCACAACTATAGTCATTAATTCTATTAAAAATGTATTTAAATTGCTATTAGTGAAAGTCTTTTGTATTCCACCCGAAAAATAGATCGCACAGGACTGTGGTGATTGCTCAGTTGGTAAAGTACCTTGTCAATAAACATGAGGATCTGAATTGGATCCCCAGGGGATCTAAAAAGTAATATGTAGTGTGAGTGCCTGTAATACTGGCACTAGAAAGACAGAGATAGGAGGATCCCTGGGGCTTGATGACCAGCCAGTATAGTCAACTCTAGTTCAGCGGGAGACCATGTCTCAAAAAACTAAGGTGTACCGTAGCTAAAGAAGACACCACAGTCAAGACTCTGACTTCTAAACGCATGTACACAAAGGCTTCTGTGGACTCACTCATGCATACATAAATATGCGTGTATACCTGCAAATTTATCTCATTCATAGAACCAGTTTATTAGACTCTATGGCCGAGGGCAGTGTTCTAAGTCTGTGCTCAAATGTGATAACAAGCAAAATGGAATGTTCTGTCCTTTACACTAGCTATTTTTCTTCCGTAGCTACTAAATATGGTAACAGTAAGTTCTATTGGACAGCTCTTTGTAAATATTAGCAATGTGTGAGAGGGAGAAAAACCAACCCTAAAATGGTTACTGCCCTGTGGAGTTTAACAGTCATTAATACAAGCAAACCTTGGCAATCCTACAGTAGAGCAAGGTGAGAAAAATCGGCATAAACAAGGGGCGTGTGGGATCTGCACTTTTAAATGGTGTTTTCAAGGCAAGTCCCATTGGGAAGATAGCTTCTGGGTAAGAGCATGAGGATTTAAAAACCAAAAGCCACTAGTCATCTGTAGAACTACTTTGCCATCATCAAGCAATCAGGCAGACGTGAGGCCCCATCATACCCCAGGTAAACACTGTGACCCAAGGAAAGGTGCCAGCCCTTGCTCTCTCCTAATCCCTGAGTTGTAGTACAAGATGATATCTGCTATGGTGTAGTAAATCTCCCAAAGGCCCACTTGGTAAAACTTTGGTTCCCAGGGTGGTACTACTGGCACCTTTAGGGTACAGTGCCAGTAGAAGGTCCCTAAGTCACTGAGGACATACGCTCAATAGGACTGTAGGACCCCAGTCTCTTATCACTTTCAGCTCATGGGGTGGGCAGAGAAGTTGGGTCTGCCATGTTCTCCTATCCTGATATGCTGCCTTTGCCAAGGGCCTGAAGCAAAAAAGACACAGGATTTTGGCATAGAACAGATGGAATAATGGGTAAAAACAAGCCCTTTCTCTTTCTACGTTATTTGCTTCAGGAATCCTCAGGTGTCTTGTTATTGTGCACAAAAGCTGGCTAATACAAGAGCCTCACATCAAGCCCTTCTGTGATAATGAAGTGAGCTCATGTTGTACGTGGTCTGTGGTATGCGATCAGTCCACATTCTCTGATGGCTGCTGGCCACATTCTGTGGTGGTTTGCTATGGCCATGTGATGGCTGCTATGGCCATGGGATGTGCTGGCCATGTTCTATGGTGATTGCTATGGCCATCTGATGGCTGCTGGCATGTTCTGTGGTGGTTTGCTATGGCCATGGGATGTGCTGGCCACATTGTATGGTGGTTCGCTATGGCCGCCACAATTGTCACAGCTCCCCTGCCTTGTTCTGTTAGCAGCAGAGAGGTGCTAAGGGCTTGGTGAGCCCTGGTTCAGTTGCCGATTGGCTCTGTGAACTTGGAGGGAGTGGTTGTCTTCCTTCTCATATTTTCTCTTTCCTAGAAAACATAATTGTCAGTACCCAATCTACTTGGCCAGGGTGTTCTGAAGCCTATGGTGATCTGAGAAAGTTTCAAGTATGTGTCAGACGGTGTTCCTGTTATCCATACTTCCTTCTTATATTACGTGGCGGGTCGGGTCTCACACGTCAGTTCGTTCTGCTGCAAACATAATTATATTACAGGAAATGGGCTGCAACTTACAGAAGAAAAACCAGACATTCCTGATTGTAGTTTTCTGATCCAAATTAAAATTTCCCATGGACCTAAAACCATGATTAACAATATTCATCCATAAAGTACACTAGAAATATTCTATCATGAGAAAAATGTGATTCCAATAATTAGATATGTTAATGAATCATTTTTTTCTTTTTTAAACTTCTAATTGTGTGTATGTGTTTATGTATGCATTTCTCTGTGTGTGTATGTGTGTGTGCATTTGTCTGTGTAAATGTCTGTATCTGTGGAGGCTGGGAGAGGGTCTTGGATCCCCTGGAACTGGAGTTGCAGGAGGTGTGGGCTCTCCGACATGGGTGCTAGCGTTTAAACCCAAGCTCACTGGAAAAACAGCAAGTGCCCTTAACCACTGATCCATCTCTCTAGTCCACAGAATGAATCTTTTAAGAGTACGTATTACACAGAACAACTGATGTTCTTCTGTAAAAACAGTACCAGGCAAGAAGTCACTGACAAACCTTGAAATGGATTCCAGGAAAGTTAGATTCTTACAGATAGATGAGGGGGTTGCGGGGGAGGGACAGTCTGGCTTTTTTAGATGCCATCTATCACTATAAGAAAGGCAGAAGGAAAATCCCTACACTCCTAAGATGCCCTCAGTTTACCTCTGCCAGCAAAGCTTTTCTAACTAATCAGAAACTCTCCAACTATTGTCTTGTGCAATATCATATTAAATTCTTCTGTGTTCTCCATTTCTTCTTCAATTGTATTGCTCTGTTTTATTTCTCTCTGGATGTTTTGGTAACATGTTGTTTCCTCCTAAAATGAATTATTTCTGTTTTTGTAAATGAATATTTGTTTTCAAATCCATGAACATTTGGTCATTCATTCTCGTCTCTTATCTCCTAATTGTGTGCCCATTCAACAGTTGACTTTAATTAAGGCCATTAGTCCTTGATAATTTGTTTTGTTGCTTAGTCTAAAGGAAGGATGTGCTTCCTTTGAACTCTGCAAGTTTGCTCCTTGGTGAGGTTCCGTCACCCCACAGAACCTACGTGCATGTGTGCAATGTTTGAGAGTTCGCCACAAATGGAGCCAAACAATCTGGGTCCAGTGGACTTCCCAGGACGGGTGGTGTTTGGAGTTTTCAGTGAACTTTGTAGCCTACATTAAGTTGAGGTTCTAAGTTGTAAAGAAAGTAAAAAGATAAACCAATGCCAGAAGACTGCAACCTGACCCTTTGAGCCTGCTCAGTGTCCATGCCTGTGGCCAAATTGCAAACATCAAGATGGAGCCCTTGGTCTCTTCTAAAGTCAGATGTCTGTTTTCCTTTCTCCTGAAGTGAAGATGAATGTGGCTTTTTAGAGAACTTTCAGCTTGGGGGGCCAAATCCTTCAGCATAATCATGAGATGGTTCCCATATGAGAAGATCTCAAGGACACATGTCAAATAGGCCTTTTTATAATGCCTAAACTGGAGGCAGAACCGTGTGTGTTGGGTATTTTGAATTCTGGAAGGAGAGGTTCAGCTAACATCGAGGCAGAAATGTACAAATCTCGTAAGTAGACCTGGGCATTCCACATGTATGCTTCAGAAATGATGGACTTTATTATCCAGTCTGCTGAACTCGGGGGAGAACTTCCAATGTCAAGCTTTGTAATAGTGATTACATTTCCCATTGTTGATCTTGTCTTACACTAAGACACACATGAATTCTGAAACTGGGCAGTAATCTTGTTCTCCAATCAGCAGTCTAAGAATTAAAAGGAAACCCACTCATAGTGTAGTTCCATTCTCTCATCAGGACATAGAAACCAAGTCTGAAGGGACTTCTAGGACTTTGAGCCTCTCTAACTGAGAAGATGGCACTGCCGAGCATGGGAGAGGACCCGCAAGATCTTCAGCACATGTCTGCGGTTCCCTCTTTAATTCACTACACTATTGATAGCCACAGTTCTCGCTGAGACGATTGAAGCTGATGAACAGGAACAGCTGATGCTAGAGGAGCCAAGACAAGCTACACTTGGTGAAGTCTAAACTGCTTCTTTTCATTGCGAGATTATCCAAAGTGTTCTTTAGTATTCTATTGAGGGGGAGGGGGGATTACAACTCCTGAAGAAAAATATGTGCCTTGTGTACGATTAGGGCAAAGAAACACATAGGTTTCAAGTGTATTGTTTCCCTTGAGTCAATCCATTGAATTTTTTGTATTAACTATAAAAATAATCCTAGGCAGGGCACTTTGCACTCTCAGGTGTTCGCCATCGTCATCATCACACCAGGCCCATCAGCCACTACAAACACAGCAGGAACCAGACTGAGAACCAGAGCACAGAACACAACAATTGACAATATCGCCACCACTAGGTACAGTCCATTCCGAGCACACTGCCTTCCCACATCAACCTTTTCTGTATAAAACTGAGAATAGCGACTTTCTGACATGACTTTTATGGGAATAAAAGGAAATTATAATT